CCTTGCCTGCTGAGATCTAAGTGGCGTCGGTGATGTCCTGGAACCAGCCCGCACCGGTTCGCAAGAGCCAATTATAAAAATTTTTAGGAATTCTGTGAACCAGTTCTTACAATTAAATTTCATAATTCACTTACTATTAAAATTAAATTTTGTAATATTACAATGAGATAAATTACAGATCGTCCTCGACTTACGATGGAGTCACATCCTAGTAAACCCACTGTAAATTGAAAACACTGTTAAGTCAAAAATGCATTTAATACATCAAACCTACCAAACATTGTAGCTTAGCCCAGCCCCCCTTGAACGCGGTCAGAACCCTTACATTAGCCTACAGTTGGGCAAAATCATCTAACACAAAGCCTATTTGATAGTAAAGTGTTGACTGCCTCGTGTAATGCATTGAATACGGTACTGAAAGTGAAAAATACAGTAGTCGTCTGCGTGCAGAATGGCTGTACGTGTATCAGTTGTTTCCCCTTGTGACTGCATTGCTGCCTGGGAGCTGTGGCTGCTGCCCTGCCAGCATCACCAGAAGATCAGACTGCATTCCGCTAGACTGGGGGAAAGATCCAAATTCAAAATTCAAAGCACAGTTTCTACTAAATGCATATTGCTTTCATAAAGTTGAAAAATTGTGAGTCGAACCATCGTAAGTCAGGGAGGACCTGTATACTAAAAACAAAGGTACTAAAAAATCAATACATATAACTAATTTACTACATCTTGTTATGATCTATGATTTATGACTATTAAATCCGTGTGGTAGAAATGCTCTCCAATGGAGTGCTACTTACATCTCTTCCTGTCTCCGCATTCAGTGATGTCACGGGCGATCCTGAACCTGGCCGTGGTGGAAATATTTACACCACAGAAACTGGCAAACAGGTCAATGCAGGGCTTTTTTATTTGTTAGCTTGTTAAACATTTACCAGCACACCACTAAGTGGAACCCATGAAACCCAAGTAAAAACAAATGTGCAATTCTGTATATAAAGATATTGGAGTATGTAGGGCCAAGCCAACCCTCCATGTTCCCACAAGTCCTACCAGGTCAACTGATTCAAGGCAGCAAATTGAGAGGACTTCTCAGGGCTAAGAACTGCATCCTGCAGAGTATAGGGAAGGTGGGGAGGACGGAAAAGAAATGTGGACCATGCCATCCAAGTCCCAATTCCACGGCTAGGGCATAGGAACTCGTTCAGCTGTGACAGAAATTCAGCTTCAGTGTCTAGGCAAAAAAGAAGATTTATTGGTTCACCTAAATGAAAATTTCAAGGGTAGTCAATCTTCAGGCTGACTGGGCCCACAGACATGTAGTTGGATCTAGGTTTTCAGATGATTTCTTATTTTTCTCTTTCCATCTCTCCGTTCTGCTTTCCTCTAAATTAACTTTATTCCCAGGAAGGCTGCCCCTCTGTGATTACAAAATCGCCAGGCTTATATCCTGTATCTTACCATCTTATGCCAGAGTTTCTCTTTCCCAGGAGTTCCTGCAAAAGCCAAAGGGATGGTTTTCATTGGTTGTAATTGCCCGGATGGTCAGACCCCTGGTCGGGAGATGGTAGGAGTATGTGAGGCTTTGACTGGTCAGTTCTCAGTCACGGAGGACCAGCCGCACCCAAACCCCATGAACCCAGAGTCAGGAAGGGTGTTTCCTATTCCTCCTACTAGGTCAAGCTCCTATTCCCAGAGCAGTGTCGGGGGAAAAGGGCACCAACTCTTCATTACGAGGTCTCACGAGCACAGGGCCATGGGCTTTGCTGAGTCTGCTTTCTGCTTTTGGAACTGGGCTGCCTTCCCACAGGGTCACTGTGTGGACAAATCCATACGACAGCTGTAAACCCCCTGGCACAAAGTGCGCTTCTAAAATGCCAGTTGGCATTTTCCTTTCTTCCTTACTTATCTCGTTCCCACCAAAGAGGCTCCACTGCTGACACAAGTTTCTCAGTCACAGGGTATGTATAGGATCTCTCTTCACTCACTGTGGAGCCCCCTCGTCCTTCAACACTCTGCTAGAGAGCAACTTCTCATAACATCACATCATTTCCTCCCCAACCAGTGACCTGAATTCCACTTAGGGCCTCTCACTGCTGACGGGAGAAGGAAAAGCCCGTAGCTCAGAGGCACTGCCCCAAGGCCAGGAGCTTCCTGTCTCACGAGTCGGGAGGGAGAGGTCTGGGTGGAGCCAGACAAAACATCTGGACCCAGATCAGGACACGGCTGGAATCTGGACCCAGGGCCAGCCCACAGCAGGCTGGTGGCACTGCCGGGGCATTGCTCCTTCTGGAGAGCAAGCAGACAACGCATCCAGCCAACAGTGGATTGACGGATGGCCTATGACATGCCAGGAGCTGTTCTAAGCTCTGGGAACAAAGTGGGGAAATAAATAACAGGCCTTAGAAGTGCCTTCCTCCCAAAGGTTTTACAAGTTCATCTCAAACCTCCAGCGCTCCACCGAGCGGCTCCTGACTCTCACCTGCCCCACTTGCCCTCTCCCATTCCTCTCTGGCCCCTTGAATTATTGTAAGCATCCACTTCCTGGTTTCTCAGCATCACTAAACTGCCGTCTCTTCAAGAGCCAGCACCCTCTTCATCATCTTAGAATCCTCTAGTGCAGGTAAGGCAGTCCATAGAGGTTACTGGAAAGGATGAACATTCATAACAGCATTTTCACAATAATAAAATAATTGCAAATAACCTGAAATGCTTAGTAATCGAGGGCTCCCTGAATACCTTATGGTAATAGCTATAACAGCAGCTGACATTAATTGAGCACTTTTTATGGGCTAGACGCTGTTTTAAGAACCTGACATGCATCATCTCATTTAATACTTAGAAAACTCTGCTAGTGGCTCCTATTTTCTCCTCATTTTACAAGTGTGGCTCAGAGAGGTTAAGAATTTGCTTAATGTCACAGAGCTAGTAAGTGGTAGGGCCCGAGCTTGCAATCACCACGCTAGTCTAGGATTACTTGGAGGGTTATGTATCCTTTAAAAGGCAACAGCACAAACAGCATTTGACTACATGAAGATGTAGATATTATCATATTTACTAAAAGAAGTTAAATGGAAGAAGCTTAAGTTAATATATACATGCTGATGACAGCCCTGTGTCAGACAAGCCCACAATCAGGGTGATGAAATGGAGTTTCTCATCTCTTTGAGGTTTCATTTCTCTGTTAAGCTGTGTATAATTTTTTAAAGTTATCTACCTGTGAGTTTTATGCCCTGGGGGCTGGGCAACCTATTCCCTAATTTGATAGACGAGTCCTGGCTGAGATGTTGGGACATGAGACTGACTCAGTTCTGCTCCTTCCCAGCAAACAAGGATCTTCTGAAACAACACCCTGGCTGAAGGCTGGCTTTGGGGGGGTCCTGAGAGATGGAGGAGGGGGCTTCCAGGTGGTGGGCATGGGGGATCATTGTAGAGAGGGTCACAAAAGTGCCAACTTAGTCACAAAAGCGTCCCCTGGGCGCTCAGAAGTGCAGAATCCTAGGCCCTCCCAGATGCAGTGGATCCAAATGTGCCCCTGAACAGGATCTCCAGGTGATCTGTAAGCACATTCAATTTGAGAAGCACAGATCTGAAGCGATTGGACTCACGTTGTGGTTCAGAGGCCAGTGCCCATCTCTGAACTGTTTGTTAACGGTCTCCCGCAGGATAAGTACAGAAATTGAGAGTGTTTGGAGGCTTCTAAAGCCATGTGACAACTGCAGTGATATCCCGTCCCCTGATCCGCGGACCACACTCTTACCATCTTTGGTGTTGCAGAACCGGGGGGATGAGTTGCATCTGGTGTAAGTGGAGGACTCGTCCTGCCCGGTAGGGCTCAGAATCACCAGGAGGGCTTGTTAAAGTGCAGCCAGCTGAGCCCCATCCCCAGCATTTCTGATTCATTAGCTCCAGGGTGAGGCCTGGGAATCTGCATTTCTAACACGCCCCCAGACG